TCTGTAGTTTCTTAATGTGTTGAGTACGTTTGTGCACTTTACATAGAAAAGGGTCTGGAGGACCTGGTTTAGTCACTGCAATAGCTGCACTATTGGGGCTGGACAGAATATAATTCTTTAAAAAGACTATCAACGTAGCTGTGTAATTGTAGCACAGTAAAATATAACATTAAGAAACTACAGATATTCATTCAAACCAGATGTTTAAATAAGCCAACGATCCATAAATATCGAAGAGCCTTTTTCATGGCTATGATTTAATATTTAATGTAGTGCACATCCAGTAGTTGTGTGTGTGAAAAGAAAATGGACTCAACTGTGTTACCTCAAATATGAAGTAATGAAATATGCAGCATATATAATCTGTACCCATGTCATGTAAAGACTCAGTCCGAGGGAAAGAAAAACATGCCTTAGAATTTCAAGAAGCAACATCCACACATAGTGATTGGTGCAGCTTCACTCTGGCACTTTATACTTAATCCAGATATAATCCTTGTTTCTTTTGACATTTCCATTATAAGATTGTATAAAGATCACAGAGGTACGCAGAAATCTCATAGTTATTTAATACATCAGGGCTATTTAATATACTTCCTTATATTAAGGTGCTTCTGAGAGAATCAGAAAAAAAAATCTTTAACATGGAGAAGCTTCTATACCCACCCTTTATTTCCAGCTGCATAAATTTTGCCCCCACTTGCCCTAAAATAAACCATGCATTTATAATTTCCATGGTATAATAATACTCTTGGAATATCTTGCAATCTGCTATTCTACTGCATGTTGTCAAAAAACACATAGAAAAACCTTCAGTTTATTGCATCACTGTTTAAAATTAAATCTCAGGTATAAAAAATAAATAGTTTTGACCCTTGTAATATGCCTCACATTTTTAACATTTATTTCACCTGAAAAAACTCATCTTGCCTCTCACCTACATAAAAAGAAAACTGCATTATGAGTTGCTTTTTCCCTTCATTTAAAATGCTAAATATATTCATCATTTTTCTTCCATAGAATAGTTGTACAAAATAATGTTAAGATAGCTCAAATCATCTGTTTCCATAATAAATAAACCTTTTAGTATTTTGGTGACATTAAACTTTGCAGAAACCTCTACATGATTCTTTAAATTCTTTTAAACCCTTACTTTGAANATATGCTGACTCTGTAAACCGCTTAGAGAGGGCTGAAAGCCCTATGAAGCGGTATATAAGTCTAACTGCTATTGCTATTGCTATTTTAATACCATTATAACTAAGGGCAACTGAAGTCTGCATCAGTCATGGGCAGGAGATGAGATGAAGACAGTGTAATTGAGACAGAGGAGGAAATGACTAATATCAAGCAATTTTTGGACTATGATTAAGTTCAAGTAGAACTATGGGCTACATTAGGCACACATGTTTAGAATGAAAATAAATGCATCTCCTTAGATATTTAGTCAATAACACAAGTTAGCTTGAAGAAGATAATAAACCATGTTTCTTAGTCCTATTTAGAGAACACTAATTGAAATCAAATGTGTTTTAGTTATACATGATCAGCAAGTTCCATTAATTTTAAGGAATCTTTTCTGAGTATGGCTATGGCAAGGTCTAACTTATTATTAATAACATAAACAAAAGCTAGTTATGCACTTATACTCTAAGGCTGCAATTCTATAAACACAAATTGGCAGTTGAAGCAATTAAAATCAAACTGACATAGTTTTGAGCTGACATGTGCCAGATTAAGCTGTTAATTCACTGAAATGTTTTCTTTTTTTGTTTTCTGATTTCTAAGAACTTTTGATTAAGTCAGTGTCTTTGCCCTTGGTACCACACCATTTTAGTGAGTCACATGAGCTTAATCTAAGACAACATTGCATAATTAAAGAGGCATTCCTACTGAACTTTTCTGATTGCGTCATTAGGCAAGTGTGTCAGATAAATTTACTAAGTCTAGAATGCCAGAACAGATATGCTTGCAAGAAGGTAAAATTTACTTGCTAAAGTGGTTTTTCTTTTTGATGGATGAGTTGAAATATTTTCTAAAGAAACAGGAAGCTCAAATTAAAAACACAATTTGCTTTGGCATGCTGATTCACCTTTTCAGCCAGACATTTTCATCATGAGCATAGTAAGATTCTTTAAAAACTGTTGAATAGAACTATTCTCTAAAGATAATGGAAGGGAGACATCTTGTGGTGAATTTAGATCTACACTGCCTATTAAAAACATGTTAAACTGACATTTTTGGAAAGGGATTGTTTGAAGAAGGCAAGGAAGAATCAAATAAACCTGAATCATGTTATGTGTACATATGAACTACAGATAATAATCTTGAACAAAATGGCTCAGCAATATATATATGATTTATTTTATTTTATTTATTTATTTTGTCAAGCATGAATTAGATAAAAGATGTAAGTATAAACATGATTATGTATACATGAAATGAATACGAATACAAGAAAATATTAGGACAGGAACAATTGGCACATTGGTGCGCTTATGCACGCTCCTTGAAGACCTCTTAGGAAAGGAGTGAGGTTGACAGTAGGCAGTCTAAGGTTAAAGTTTGGAGGTTTGGGGAAGAAACCACAGTGTCAGGTAGTACATTCCAGGCACTGACAACTCTATTCCTGAAGTCATCTTTTCTGCAATCAATATTGGAGTGGTTTACCGTAAGTTTGTATCTATTGTCAGTTTGTGTATTGTTGTGGTTGAAGCTGAAGTATTCAATGACAGGTAGGGCATTGTAGCAGATAATTAGGTCAGATCCAAGGCGGAGAAGTTCTAAGTTGTCTAAGCCCAATATTTCAAGTCTAGTGGCATAAGGTATTCTGTTGTGAGCAGAGGAATGGAGGACTCTTCTCATGAAATATCTCTGGACTCATTCGTTTGTATTAATGTCTGATATGCAGTGAGGGTTCCAGACAGATGAGTTGTATTCAAGAATTGGTTTAGCAAAAGTTTTGTATGATATCTGAAAGTATGAAATTATTGGAATATTTTTGTGTACTTAAAGCAAACATGTACATTAAAAAAAATCAGTTCACCGCTAGTTCAATCTCCATTATACATTGTGATAAGATTGAATACCCCTGATGACAACATGAGCATGTTCACATAATTTTCTTCACAACAATATGGACATAGTTTATCATTGTCTACTTTTGCTTGTTTTGTAACCGCACAGTTTTTCCTACAATCTTGCATAATATCTGTTCTGGCATTCTAGACTTAGTAAATTTATCTGACACACTTGCCTAATGACGCAATCAGAAAAGTTCAGT